TCTTGCTGGCTCTTCCTAGGATAGAGGTTTTTTTTTCGAACCAGTGGTAAAGTAAAAAATGACTTTCAATAAGAATTACACATGTGATCTATTTTGAATAAAAAATTATTCTATTCTTTTCTATTCGCATAGACTTGCACCCAATTCGCGACGTACGCACACTAACACTCCACCGCCGACCTTTAACCCTGACAATAAAAAATTACGATCACTTCGAAAAATATTTTTTTTATATGATAGGGTGACAAACGAGCACACAGTCCAGCTGATAGTAAATGGTTGCTGTGGCCCATAGACATCTACATTTATCCTCGTTTGCGAATCAAAATGCAGATGCGTTGTCACCCGTGAGGACTAAGATGGAATGCCTCTTTTCCAGTAAAAAGGGTCTCCGGTTCTCTACACTCACTATACGAAACACAGCAGTGTTAAGCTACTATTTTACGCTGGTATTCTGTGAGAGCGTGGTCCTTAACCGGTCGAGCCGACCCATTCGTGTTACAACTATACCACTACTAATATAGCTGCAGCATGGCTCTACCACTTAAAAATATATCTAAGATCACATATTTATAAATATATATCACTTTTTAACCATGTTTCGATCAATAAGATTATGTCATAGATTTGAGATAAAATATTGTAATAAATATATAGTTCAAAACATTTCGTACGTAAACCACGAACATATTTATAGATTGCTAAAAACGACTTTTAAAACATAGAACAATTAATGTAAATAATGAATCATAAACAAACAAAAATAATGTGTTCAGAGTTACGTTGCAATTTATTAATGATACGCTGTACTTTAGGCAAACAGTAACAATATAAACTTACGTAGGTATTTGTAAATAAAGTACTAAGGTCGGAAGTTAACAATCTTATTTAGTTTTGTAGATAAAAATTAGATATTACATTAATGGTAATCATCCTAGTCAAGCAATCGTTACATTTGTATGCATTTATTAAGTGTAATTTGTAGTCATAAAAATGATTATGTGTATATTAATAAAAACAACAAAAAATGAATTTAGAACAAAAAACAAAACTACTCGATTACTTTTTAACATCACTAACATTAATAATGACATAAGAATTACCATTTCTTTGTTGTTTTGTATACATGAATCCGATATTAAATGAGAAGTTATCCACACAGACCAATAAAAGTTGTATACTCGTATGCATATAAATAATAATATGCTATAAAAATAGTATTTACTGTATATAAAATAATAATTACATAGTATATATAATAAAGTATTTGAAAAACGTTTGTATATATATATATATATATATATATATATATATATATATATATATATATATATATATATATATATATGTAACATTATGTAGTTTTAAAAAACATTCAGCCATGCTAGTAGAAAACAAAACGAATACAATGTTTAAGATAAATAACAATAATAGTAACTTAAAGTAACACAGTCATTTAATTTTATTTAAATCTAAAGTGTCTTTATGTGGATTTTTGGGGAATTGTCGTCTTTCCTTATATAATTTTTACAGTTACGTTCCCACACGCATTTAAATTTATTTTAGGATTTGCACTTCTAGCGGCGGCTTTGGTTTGCTTTAGAAGCATTTTATTAGCCGGTATGAGGTGTTCATTAACATATATATTTCGCGACTCTCCTGGGATTCCTGTGTCGATTGTAGTTAAACCCTTCTTCTTACGTATAGCAGAGATGATGTTATCTCTCAAGAGGATTGATTTTAATTGAACCACAATATTTTTTGGCAATTTATTGTCGCTGTCCCGTGATTTAACACGATGGGCATTAATTAAGTCCTCGGCAGATAAATCTATCCCCGTGTTTGCCTATTGCAATAACGTAATCGGAGATAATTTCATTCGTTTTTTCTGGGATTTAAGAGATCTCAATGTTCATGGCGCGATCACGTTGCTGCATGTAATTATAATCATTTTGCAGTGATTCATATTTTTCTTGTAATTTCGACATATATTGCTGCAACAGATCAACCTTTTTGACTTCCGATACCACATCATCAATACGTGTTGTCAGAGTGATTTGTTCAGCTGAATGATAAGTTAATGAGTTTTTCAATTCGGAAATATCATTCGTCATCTCATTATGCTCACGAGTAATTTTAACAGTACTAATTTTTATAGATTCCAGCTGTTCCCTTATTATCGTGACGTCATCCTTTACTCCTTTAATTTGAGACACTTTATCTTTCAAACTTTTAAATTCTTTCTTCTGTGTCTTCCCAAAATTATTAAAGAATTCCATTATTTCTGTTTTGAAATCCATCAGCTGAGAAGACGATGCGAAATCTGCATCTATTTGTTTACGTCTTCTATGTGTTATTTTATAATAATCGTGACTAGGCAAATCAGTGTTTGAGCCACTCATGGATCCACCACTAGAGGTGACCCCTCGCTCTAGAACCGGGAACCATATTAAGATGGTTAACGAGTATTAGCACTGTGTATGTAAAAACTATGCGTGTGCGCAGGACGAAAAATCGCTGGTTGTCTCCTTTACTCGAGGGGGTGAGACGAAGGGCAGTAGTGGCAGCACGTCGCACGGTTGTATTACGCGGCTATAATAGGGATTAAGTGACAAAAAACTATTTTTACATGGTAGAGCCATAGCTGCAGCTATATTAGTAGTAGTATAGTTGTAGCACGAATGGGTCAGCTCGACCGGGGAAGGACCACGCTCTCACAGAATACCAGCGTAAAATAGTAGCTTAACACTGCTGTGTTTCGTATAGTGAGTGTAGAGAACCGGAGACCCTTTTTACTGGAAAAGAGGCATTCCATCTTAGTCCTCACGGGTGACAACGCATCTGCATTTTGATTCGTAATCGAGGATAGATGTAGATGTCTACGGGCCACAGCTACCACTTACCTTCAGGTGGAATGTGTGCTCGTTTGTTACCCTTATCATACGAGTATTAAAAAAATATTACTAGATTGAACTTTATGCACCACTTAGTTAGATTCCAAACTTCGATCAACAATACCAACTAGATAACGGGTCACGTACAAAATCATAGCTAAATATTGTCCGCGTGAATATATACTTATTTAGCTACATTTGTTTACTAAAGAACTGAGACAAAAAATTAAAACAGTTTTATGTTCAACCCAATTACAACATTAATGGTTTTTCCTTTCTGCTTATACATGAATTAATTTCCTTTAAATAAGTTGAATTTGTTGTACAATTGTCGTTTTGATTTATTTTTGATGACACAAACAGACAAAAGTAGCAATTACCATTATTTAAAGTTCTGGTAAGAAATTACTAAAAATGATTACAATTATACAAATCTACTCCATGCATACTACTGTTCTGTTTCACAAATGTTTACGCGTGTATTGGGCAACGTTGGCAAAACATTTGTAGGAGTGCTTTAAAATCGGTAATTTTGTTTCAAATATTATATTATTTGTTAGTTTAGAGCTTAAAATATAACTTATTCTACATGTACTTGCCGAAAGTAAGACACTACGGCCGTTAAATGCTTTTTAGGCATTATTCTTAAAACTTTTAAATACACATTGCGGCATTGTGAAACGTGTTTCCATTGGCTGTGTTTCAAGTCAACTAAATGAAATAAGAGCTCACGTCTACAGTGCGCTCTTATTTACTGGGACGTATTTTTGGCACCGAGCCGACATCTAGTTGGTATTGCTGATCGAAGATTCCAAGTATAAATCACGTTAAAATTAAATTTTTATTTTATTATTAGAAATCAAGAACAACTCATGATACGTCTACTTCTGACGGCGCGCGCAGTAGTAATGCATATACTGCATGATGCCCGTATGTAACCATCCATTCAATAACGTGCAGCACAGGTTTATTTTCGCATATCTACCAGTATGGCGTGGACGTCTTGAAGTGCTATCAAGTTTTTTAAATAATATAATAGGTATGGCTATTAGAAAATTAACTGTTAGACAACTGGCAACGATTGCCATAATTTTGGATGAACTGGCAACAGATAAATAGATAAAGGCAATGCGTTTACAGCCCCTCTATAACGGTCATCATACGCGGTTACAACCCGCATTTTGCGCGCAGGCACAGAATAAATAATAGTACTACGTACAGTTAAATATGGAACCCCATTACGGGATTCCGTAAATTCATCACACACATACGTTTATTTACGTTCGGAATAACAACGCTCAGTTGAGAGAGGCTAGCCCATTTAGTCTAGACATTCTGCCAGCGATCCTGACGATGATTTTCTGATTGCGATTCCATTGTTGCTGTAGCATTGTTACTGTGTGCATCCCCTTATCACAATGCGCAAGTATCATATTAGTCTGTGTTATCACAATAAGATTGCAATGTAATCAAAATTATCTAAAAAGATCTATCTATCCGGAAATATTATTAAATATGGATGTAAACTCTTTCGACGAATTATAAATAAAATAAGATGAAAGGTTTCGAAAAGAGATACACATATTATAACATTATATGTAAAAACATGCATAAACAGATTTACTCGCTTCGGTCGTACGCACACTGAACGCGTTCCGTACGGAATTTACGAATGTGTGTTGCGACTCATACAAAATCTATGGAAGACTTGCATTCGGAACGGCTTTTTTCCGTTGGGGATTCTGAACGCACAGGCGGTCATGCGGAATCTCGAATCGGAGAAAATTCCTTACGGAAAACTATTGTACGTGTGTGACGACTCCTTGATATGGATTTGCTGCGTTCTGAATTCGTATATATATTCGTATATATCGTAGCACGTTATAAAAAGTTTTGTGAATAAGATAAAATTTCCAAGGCTTTATTGTCTAAGACTTTTGCCTGCCTTAATTGGTGAATCGTAACAATAACAACAGCAAATTGATGTTGACTTTGACATTTTATAAAAATCTTTTTGTCATCTTTATTTATATTTTACTCTCGAGCGAATAATAAAAACAACAATATTTATATTTTATAATTAAAAAATAAAGTATCGATCTGAACATGGATGATCCTGAACTGGAACAAATCCGGCAGCAACGCCTTGCACAGCTTCAGTCTCAACATGGGGTAAGTCTCTATAAGTTCTATACAATAGAATAGGTTATGTACATATTTCGATATTATGATCATTATACGTTATGCATATTATCAAAAAACTAATTATCATTATTGGTTTTATAGGGTACTGGAGACCCTAACCATGCTAAGGCCCAAGAAGATAAGATGAAAGCTATGGAAGAAGCTAAACATTCAATTTTAACACAAGTGCTCAGTCAAGATGCCAGGGCAAGACGTAAAAATAAATATTTATTTTATGGATATAAATTGTTAAATGCATTCTTTATTAATTAATAAATCTATTTTATTTTAGTTAACACGATAAAGATTGGCAAACCGGAAAAGGGTGCTATGGTCGAAAATATGATTTGCAGAATGGCACAAATGGGACAAGTTCGCGGTAAAATATCTGAACAAGAATTAATTCAATTGCTCGAATCTGTCAATCAACAGATGCCTAAGTCAACAAGCACTGTCAAGTTCGATCGTAGAAGAGCTGCCCTTGATTCGGATGATGATGATTTTTAGCATAGTGACATGTCCTATGTGTTTTTTTTTTTCAATTTGTATAGCTTAATAAATGTACGTATGAAGATAATTTGCAATCAATTATAATGACTAAATCATTATAATTGATTGCAAATTATCTTCAGTCATATTTAGACTGGCTTAGCATGGAACATAATGTGCATAATGGTGCATAATAACTTGATAATAATCTAAAATTGTACTAATAACTCAAACTTCACATTTTGTCTCATGCTATTCTATACTTTATATGTAATTGAAGCCTGGTGTGCTCAATTTGTGCTAAGATCTATTAACTGCCTTAATAATATTGTAAAACTTACTATTATATCTTTTACAGTAAACTCATCAGTTTTGTATTTTTGCTCTTCATTAGAATTCTTGCTTATAAGTTATATTCATATAAAATGGTTTAAAGAAACTCCAAAAAGCTAAAACTAAAGACACTGTATAAATATAAACATTAACTTTTGACATTCTTGAACATTGGTCAGTAAAATAATTTTATATGCTAAAACAGTAAGAAGTTTGTGTATCCAAAAAAAGAATTGCAATTTTTATGTATGGCTATGTTGTAATAGTTCATACTATTCCTTTTCTTACTTTACAGTCGACATTAATCCTTTTACATCACATATCCCTACCACATACCGACTCAATGCAATAAATATTTTTCTTATTTGGATTGTGATTTTTTGGACACATTTGTGTTACTAAAGCTAGATGATGCTCCACAAAATTGCATATTATGTATAAAAGGTGAGTTAATCTGGTCAGGAAACATGTAGTCAACCTCTCACACTGCAGTAAAGGGTAGTGCTGCAATACATAAATTAGTTTAGTATGAGTAGTGCAAGGTCTAGGTTGTGAAAATATCTAAAGAAAGCTCGGCTGGCCTCTAATGAATATGCTTTTGTTAAGCTAAATCAGTGTGCTTTTCCATCTTGGATTGCATCACTACTTATAATTAGGTGGATAGTTGACTACTATCTCACCTAATGCCTTATAATAGTTAAAAAATGCATACTTCTAATTTTTTAAACTAACAAATATAACTAAATTATACACAACTATAAGTATCTATTTGTTGAACACAGTTAAATGAAGCTATATTTATATATAACTAGCTGTTCCCTGCAACTTCGCCCACGTTTAATTTAGTTTTAAGTTTTTTGCGAGGAACCCTAATTATTTTTCTAAAATAAAAGTAGCCTAAATTACTCCTTATGACATCGGCTATTTGCCAGTAAAAGTCCCATCAAAATCGGTCCAGCCGTTTCGAAATATGCTGGAACAAACAGACAAAAAATTTAAAAAGTGTCTTTTTGTTATAAGTACTGTTTATACTTTCATATGCATTTAGTAAAACGCTGTAATTTTGATATTACAAACAGACACTTCAATTTTTTTTATTTGTATAGATGTATAGATATGTGAAAGTATTTTTTCCACAAATATGATGCATAAATTTAAAGATAATTTATAGTTTTTATGATATATAATACTCTCTTGGGGAAAAGAGATTCTTCTAAATGAGGTATTTTGCCAATTGCTGCAAAAGGGTATAAAATTTAAAGAATTTAAAACAACTTCATAAACATTATTTTAATTATTGTCTGGTACTTTACTTTTAAGTTTTGCTTTTCATATACCTCTCCATAGATATTCACATCTAAAGTTATTGCTACATACTTTTGTGATTGCTGTTAAGTAAAATGAAGACATTGAATCTTTACAATATTGTATTATATTATATTTATATTATATTCTATTGTATTTATTTTTATTTAAAAAGAATTCTGATAACCTATATTTTAATTTTTTAATCTTATAATTAGGGAATGTTTACTTATTAGTTTAGTTTAGTTACATTATAAATTATTTTAACTTACATTTAACTCTGATACATTAAACAAGAATTGTGTTCATTTTTAAATTTATGTACCTACATTGTTGTGGTGAAAGTGATAAACATCAATATAGAATCTGATTTGTTGCATTTGGTAATCTGAGAGTCAAAACAAATTAGTAATAAAGGGAGGATAAAATAATCTTTTCTTTTTTTTACTTTTGTGGAGAATCCACACTTCTATAGATATTTTGACATCCATGTGACTTTAGCTCATCGATACCTATATGGCGTGTAGCACAATTCTTGCCTCTAAGATAGATCATAAACTAATCCATTAGCGAGACTCAGCCAAGGTGACCATTCTTATATACAATTTTAAGCTACTAATTATTTCCTAATTTCGTTCGTGGAATATGAACTAATCTTTGTCAGTTACAGGTATTTCTAACAGTCCCTAGACTCAGAACTGTCCTGTTTCATCCTCTCTCAGAACGGACTCTAATCTTGCCGATCTCATTATACCTTCGACTGCCTCGTTGCTCTAGTGGTTGTAAACGCGACTGCTGATCATGAAGTCGAACCACGGGTCAGTTATTGAGATTTTCCATCAAGAAATTCTCAGTAGCTGCCCGAAGTCGAGACGTAGGCGGTCTCGCCCCCGTGCCTCGGAAAACACGTAAAGTCGTTAGCCCTGCACTCGATCTCTCCGGGTATATCGGCTTACCGTCCCTTCGGACTGTATGAGTGTACTGTCCTTGCCAAAGTATGTTGGCACTATAATCCTGTACTGCACCGACGGCTAGTCTCCGCTGAAGATGCCGCCGTGGCCGAAATTCGGTCTGGAGGACATTATTATTATTATTATACCTTTAAATTGCCGAAATTAGCTGAAAAATAACACCAAAAACGTTTACTATCTTTCACTAACTTTTACTTACAAAATGTTTCCAATATATCAATAGTTATTACTCTTATTTTTTACCACACGATTATAAATTTCATGCATGTGTGTGATCAGTCGTTTCAAGAATGCGCTATGAGGGGTGCATTTTTTTACAAGAGTTGCATATAAAAAAAAAAACCCAAGGCAGGTTCGTTGGTAAACGCAGTATAGCAGCAGGATTCGAAACCAAGGCAGGGTCATTGTCAAAGCAATATTAATGTTTACAATCTTTTAACGTACATAATTATGTAGATAATGTATTGGTTATTATTCGTTTATCTTATCCACCCATATCGGTATATAATAATTTGTACGTCCTAAAGAGGCAACGTTAGGTAAAATATTAAAATTGACCGCAGTTCTTAACATAAATTCTTTTCATTTATTTACTATACTCCGAGTTTATAGTGAGTTAATAATGCGAATACTATTATTTAAATTTTAAGTAAATTATAATGTAACATTATTTCGAGTGCCATTATTGCCAAGCATGGCAATAATGGCAAACATCCCCCCTATGAGGCATTCAATGGCGGACGCCTTTGTTCAGCAGTGGACGTATGATATACTGTAATAAATGAATGTATGATGATAGTGTTTTTGTGGTAGAGCCATGCTGCAGCTATATTTCTGGTATAGTTGTAGCACGAATGGGTCGGCTCGACCGGGGAAGGACCACGCTCTCACAGAATACCAGCGTAAAATAGCAGCCTAATGCTGCTGTGTTTCGTATGGTGAGTGTAGAGAACCAGAGACCCTTTTCACTGGAAAAGAGGCATTCCATCTTAGTCCTCACGGGTGACAACGTATCTGCATTTTGGTTCGTAATACCGAGGATAAATGTAGATGTCTATGGGTCACGGCAACCACTTACCATCGTGTGGACTGTGTGCTCGTTTGTCACCCTTATCCTATAAAAAAAGTGTACAGACCTTTGATTAGGAAATTTACACAAAACACATACAAATGGATTTCATAAAATTTTAAAGACATGCTTTCTTTCTTTTATTTTTTTTATTTTTTAAAAACGTTACCCCCACACTAAGATTTTCTCCTGTATCGTGGAGGCAGTTTACAAACACAAATTGCACAAGGACAAACATCCAGACCCGGAACAATTATTTGTAGGCCATACAAATACTTGTACCGTGCGTGATTCGAACCCGCGCCCCCCAGCGCAGCAACTCATAACTAAGCCACTGCGCCACGGAGCCGTGCTGATATTACAATAAACAGTTGCGCATATGACTCTATAGAGAACAGTCATTTCTTTCCGCCTCCGCACGCAAACCTACGCAAACACACGCCGAAGAAAACGAAAAATAAAGATTATCGCTAAGACCATATTGAACAAGACCCGAAGCTAGGTGTTTACTGTCGAAACATAAGATGTGCTCAGTCCCTACAGCATATGAAAGTGGATCTATCAAAACGAAAAAAATTTAAAAATCACAAAAAATAACAAAGTCTTCCTATCACAGCTCCAAAGAAGCCTCGCAAGTTTTTGGAAAAGTTTAACACGATCATTATCCTGCTTCAATCATGGTTTAGTGGTCCTACCAAGGCAAGCAGTCACGAAGTTTCATTTTGTGAAAAAATGGGAGTAATGTCTTTTTTTTTTTATAGGAGAGGGGGCAAACGAGCATGATGGTAAGTGACTACCGCCGCCCATGAACAACTGCAACACCAGGGGAATCGCAGATGCGTTGCCGGCCTTTCAAAAAGGAGTACGCTCTTTTCTTGAAGGTCCCTAAGTCGTATCGGTCCGGAAAAATCGCTGATGGTAATCGATTCCACAAGGAGGTCGTGCGAGGAAGAAAACATCTTCTAAATCGCACAGTGGTGGACCGCCAATCATCCAGATGGTGTGGCTGGTATCGGGAGTTCTGTCGCGATGTGCGTTCGTGAAATTTGGCGGCTGGGATTAATCCGAACAATTCCTCAGAGCACTCCCCATGGTAGATGCGAAAGAAAATGCAAAGGGATGCAACATCTCTTCGCAGTGCCAATGAATCGAGCCGATCGGAAAGGGCTCGGTCGTCGACAATTCGAGCCGCTCTGCGTTGGATGCGGTCAAGTGGAAGGATCTGGCACTGGGGAGCCCCTGCCCAGAGATGGGAACAGTATTCCATGTGAGGCCGAACTTGCGCCTTGTAAAGTAGCAGGCGGTGTGCCGGCATGAAATACTGTCCCGCTCTGCTGAGC